CCAAGTCCGTCTCCCTGTCGCCTCCATCGCAGCCGGCCCGGGCGGGCCCCCGCGGGACAAAGCGGCCCGCCGGCACCACGCGGCCGCTCGGCGCCTGGCCCAGGCCCTGCCCGTGACCGCGCCAACCCCGCACCCCGCTGTGCGCCCGGCTCCGCTGTGACCCCGTCCGCCCGGGGGCGCCGTCCGCCGCACCTCGCCCGGTAAGTCCCCCGCTGCAGCCTAACCAGGGCCCTTCCAGCCTCCCAGGCTCGACCCACCGGCCCGGAATCGCACGGCCTTCCTGGCCCGGGGTCCCTGACACGTGGTCCTCCGGGATCGCCCCACCAGCGGTCCTGCCTGCCCAGGTCACAGGGACCTGAGCACGCCTTTGGGGAGCGGGACACCGCAGGCCCACCGCGGGCCTCCCGCCTTCCCGGTTCTCAGACGGAGCCACAGGCCTCGGGCCCCGTTATTCCTTTCCCGGAACCTCCCAAAGCGCCCTCCCGGCCCCCCAGCTGGGGCCTTTGTCTCGCCCTCCCCCCCACCCCCCCACCTCCGGGCCGAGGCGCGCCCAAGCCGGGCCGCGGAGCCGCCGCTGCACCTGCCCGCCGGTCCCGTGCGCCGGCTTTGCGAGGCTTAACCCGGCTTGCTCTCCCGTGCGCGCCCCGCGGCCCTTTATCCTGTGTGGTTGGGGTTCGGGTGGGGGAGATCTCGGGGTCTGAAATCTTACGCCGCCCCCCCCCTTCCCCGCCACAAGCCAAAATCAGAATCCATTTAGTGGGATTTCAATGAGAATGGGCCAGGGGGGGGGGTCGGGGATCCGCCGCTGCCGGGGGTGTAGATGGGGTCTGGACGACCCACCGGCTTTAGAATCCTTGCTTGGAGGCTCAGCGTGAACTCCAGGTTGCCTCTACCGCGAGGGGGAAAGGTCGGAGGTCCAGGGCCCCCGGGTGTGGCCGCCGCTCCTTTCCCTGAAAACACGGAAGGAAATCCGTTGTTTTGGAAAAAGCCACGTCTCTCTCGGCCGGGGTCGGGCACATCTGGCGGGGAGCGCTGGGTCTACGCAGGCTCTCCGAGCCGGGATTCGTTCGCGAGTCCGCAGGCTGTGAGAAGGAGGTGGGCCGGAGGCTGCCCAGGTGTCAGGAGAGCGTTTCCCAGCTGGGCTTACAAATTGCAGACAAATTGAGTCTAACGAAACGGATTTACCATTGTCCGTGGCCGGCCCGGCTCAGCAGGACCTCCTGGGAAAGCCGCGGCTTCGATGGAGGGTTAGACCCTAGATACAGGATTCCCCAGGTGCCCTACCCCAGGTGGAGCCCTAGGACATCAGCCCTTATCCGTAGGATTCAAGGGGCCCAGAAGACTGAGAGGAGGAGAGCCAGCGTGGAGGCCAGAGCAGAGGGAGCCATCAGATTTGGGGGCAGGGAGTGAAGCTCGGAGAACAGTAGGGGCTGCTGAAGCCCCAATTCCCCTATTGGAGGGACAGCAGTGACCTGAACAGGTCTGAGGCCTTGCCCTAGAGATGTCTGAACCCTTCGGGTGACAGAGGCCCCCACTTTCTTCACAGTATCCCTCAAGACGCATCGCTGGTGTGGGGCTGGGAGGTCGCTGCGTGGCAAATTAAATATCCCTGTAGAAGGCAGTCCTAAGCAAAAGGGGGATTTCTTTGACCCCCCCCCCTTCCCCAGTCCCCAGCCTCTCTCTCTGCCAGCGAATTAGGTGTCCGGAGGAAAAGGCGAGAAGAATTGGGTAACAAAGAGGGCAAACTTATGGTCCCAGAGGGGCCGCCTCTGATGAGCGAAGTTTAAACAAAGGGCGCCCAGGAAAAGGGCTCCCCGGCTCCGGTAAAACGGGGCAGCCACAGCCCCGCCCAGGCAAGCAAGGCTTCGGACCCCATGTCCCCAGCTCTCCCGAGAAAGCATCTCAGGTTGTGCCCACCCGCACTGCTGGGAGCAACTCAGGTCACGTGGAAAGGTGTCAGAAAATTCAGTTCTGTTGTTGCCCTTTCCTGGTCCTTCGCAAAATCTTGTTTCCATGCAGCATCCGTGAGCGACCAAAAGGTAGGCACCCCGCATTCTCAACAACTCTTGAGAACGAACAACAAAAAACCCCCAACCAAACCAAACCAATAAACAAACCCCCAAAAAGCAAAAAACGGGAGCGTGCCCCTCTGAAGGTGCCCGGGCGTCTGAGGCCCTGGACAGAAATAAATCTGCCCTCCTCCGGCCGGCCCTGACCCTCCTGAGACGTTTGTTTGGGCAGAAGAGAATGGATGGTCTCCGCTGCCTCGGGAGCCAGGCGTCTGGTCGTTGTCGGTCTGTCTGTTCGGCCCGGGCAGACGCGCAGAGCAGTCCCCGCTGTAGGTCCGCTGGGCTCCGCTGCGGCGCCGGTCTCTCCCAGGCGGGTTCGCTCCGGCGGGAGGACACAGCCATCCCGCGTCCAACGCAGGCGCTCCGGTGCCCGGGGAGGCCTCGGCGGCCCGCCTCCCTGCCTTTGGGGTCGGCAACCCCGGGCCTCAGGAAACCCGGCGGGGCTACCCTTTCCTTTTTTTTTTTTTTTTTTTTTTTTTTTTTTTTTTTTTTTTTTGCTTTAGGCCGGGATAGCGGGAAGGGAGGCTGGCGATCTCCTGAGGCCCCTGCTCAAGCATCGCTTAACCGCCCTGCGCAGCTCCTCTGAAGGCGATTTTCTGAGCCGCCGAGCAGCGTAATTAAATCCCCCCCGCGCTCCGGTCTGCGCTCGGCGGCGGGGAGCCGCTCCGGCAGGCGGCCGCCCGGCGGTCACCTCCACCCCGCGGGGTCCAGGACGCTGCCCTGGAGGAGTTGGGAGCGGAGCTCGCGGCGGAGAGAACACTGCAGACCCACCCAGCTGGGGGGCAATCCGAAGGGCGCCTTTGGGAGGAAAAGTCGAATTACCTGCTTTTTTCAAACGCTCCGAGCGGCCACCTCCCAGCGACCCGAGGCGCCGATCCCGGTCCCGAGGGAAGCTTCCGTTCCCCTCCGGCGTCAATGGCCCCGGAGCTGGCCAAGGGGCCGCGTCCTCCTATGCCGAGCTCCAGGGGGGCAGCTAGCCGGACACGGGCGGGGACCCCTGGGGTTGCGTGGTCTTCCAGGAGCTCCCGCTGGGCTCCAGGCTCACAAACCAGGCTGGAGGCTCCGCGGCGATCCGCGGCCTTTTACGCGTCGATGGAGAACCGTAAACTACAGATAAGGAGGAGAGACGGACGGACGGAGAGGCAGCGGGTCCGGGTCGGGCCTCGCGCGTTTGCAGGGAGGCCACTCACCTGCCGGCCGCGGCCGTGGAGGCCCGGTGCCCGCGGGCGCCCTGCTCCCGGCCCCAGCGCGGCTCCCCCGGCGCAGCTCCCCCGGCGGGCGGGCGGGTGTCGGCTTCCTCTCCCGCGGAGCCGCGTTCCGAGAAGCCTGGGCCCTGCGCGCCGCAGTGGATGGATGGGAGCGGAAGGCGCAGCGGCCGGTCGGGGCAGGGTCTCCCGGGGCTGAGACGCGCCGCTTCCCAGCCTAATGGGTCTCGCCCCCCTCCAGTCCCTTTACCTGCGCCCATGGCGAGACCCAGAGGCGGGAGGAGGCCCCCGACCCTTGGGCGCTGCCCACCGTGAGCCCGGGAGGGAGACGGAGGCGCGCGCGCGTGGATCTGGGCCGGGCCGGGCGCCCCCCGAACCGAGGGGACCGAGGGCTTTTCCTCCCTCTCGGATTATTAAAAAGTTCATTTCCTGGCGAATCGGGTGACGTCAGGGGCCCGGCGTCGCGGTGGCGGGGCCGCCCGGCCGGAGAAGCCGCCTCCAGTTACCCAATTACCGACTGTCAATCCCGCCGCCCCTCCCCCCTGCCCGGGGGTGCCCCGGACCCCGCCCTCCCCCTGCCCAGGACCCACCTGGGATCCCTCCGGGCATCTCCCGTGGGAGCCGTGGGCCCGGCGAGGGGAAAGGAGCCGGAGAGGACGTGGAATGCTCCCCATGACCCTCGCACTGAAGTTCCCCCAAATTTCTTTGTTCCCGACCCCCTCCTCGGCCGCAGGCTCCTGGGGAGCCTGGGTCTCCCCTGTGCCACGGGAGAAAGCCGAGGGATCTGTGCCCCGGGCCCCCTCGGCCCGCAGAACTGGGTGTCCGGGCTGGAGGTGTGTGGGGAGCGGCCCCAGGTGACGCGGGGCGCGGAGCTCTCCCTCTCTCCAGGGGCCGCCCTAGGGGACCCGGGGAGAAAAATGCCGCTCCTGCCCGAGGCGCCTCCTGCGAGCCGGCGCCGGCGCCAGGCCCAGTCGCCACGGCCTCGCCCCAGGCAGTCCGGCCTGTTGGTCTCCGAAGGCCACGCCCGGGAAGGGAAGGGGACCCCTCCTCCCCCCGCTCCCTGGAGTCGCTGGCCAGGCCACCTCCACCGGGTCAAGCACAGCCCTAAGTGGCCTCGTATCCGAAGCCCAGGTGCCCACTGGGACCCCACAATTCATATTCATGCCCTTCGGCGCTCCTGCTGTCCCGCAGCTGTCTCCCCCCGCCCCCCACCCCGCCCCGCCCCAGCACCAGAGTTGGGGGACGGAAAGGCCTGGGTAGGTAGTTGGACTTGGACTGGCCACAGTTGGGCGGTCAAGGAGGTGGGATCCGAGCATGTGGAGGGGCTGGGCTCCTGGGGAGGAGGACACCCGGACACCCAGAGCGCGCACCGCTGGGCTCCGCGGAGGGGGCCCCCGCTGGAGGCTAGTTCCTGGAGGGGGTCCCAGAGGTTCGGGGGGCTCTGGAGTGTCCGCACTAGAAGCGCAGCGGCCCGGTCAGTCAGCTGCGAGGTGAGGGTCCTAGCGGGGGTGCGCGGGCTGGGGCTGGGGGGGGGGGGGTGGCTGCAGGGACCGCGGAGAGGGCGGGCGCGGGGAGGGGACCTGCGGAAGGAGGGGGCCCGCCGGCGGGTCAGTCCGGGAGTCCGGCAGGCCCGGCTGCAGGCGCAGCCAATGGGGGGCGGAGGCTGGGCGGCGGGCCGCGCTGATTGGCTGGCGCGGGCTTCTTAGGCGTGCGCGGCCCCCGCTTCATGTCTGTGCCGGAGTCGGAGCTGGCGCCAGGGCGGCCGGAGGATGCCGAGGGGCCGCAGCCGGGCGGGCCGAGGGCCGAGGCTCGCGCTGTCCCCCGCTCCTGCCCAGTGAGCCACGCCAACCGGCTGTCCGAGCTCTGCCTCCGCGCCCTCCACCCCGGGCTCTCGCGGTGCCTCCCCGTCCTTCCCCAGGCCGCTGCCCTCTCCCCCGCGGTGCTGCTTGTGTAAGTTTTGAGGTGCGAAGGCTGGCTGGGGGTCTGGGGCGCGCCAAGCTCGGGGAGGTCTCTGCGGGAGCTGGAGGCCGGGGCGGGGCTGCGGGGGACGGCCCCGGGGCGCCCCGGAGAGGTGCTGAGGGTGCTGCCGGGGAATGCGCGCGGGAGGGGGGCTGGCTGGCTCCCCGCCGCCGGGGCTGCGTGTGCGCGCTGGGGGCGGGGGACAAAGTCAGCGAGTGTGTGTGGCGCCAAGGGTAGGTGTGTGCGTGTCGCTGGGATCATGCGCCCAAGTCGTGATCTCCAACTTTGAGTCTGTGTCTGTGTTCGCGTCCAAGGAAGGTGGTGGGGGGTTCAGGGTGAGTGGGTCCAAAGTGCGACCGTATGCATCATCGTGGGGGTACCTCGTGCCGGGTCCCGTCTCCGTGGGGGACCCGTGTGCACGGGTGTGTGTGAGTGTGCGTGGCTGCCCCCTCTTGCTCACCTTCCTTTCATTTTGAGTGAGCTGGGTTGGAGTTTTCCTCCCGCCCGAAGCCGGCCGGCCGGCGGCTGAGCTTCGCCGGGTGGGGTGAGCAGCGCGCGCCACGGGGCACGGCGCGATGACAGGACTTTGGGGGCGTCGGGCCGCCCGTGGCCGCGTCCCTCACGCCCCTTCCGTCGTCGCGCAGGGCCGCTGCCGCCTCCGCCCCGCCCCGAGCCTCGGCCGCCCGCCGCCCGCGATGGAGGTGGCGCCGGAGCAGCCGCGCTGGATGGCGCACCCGGCGGTGCTGAACGCGCAGCACCCCGACTCGCACCACCCGGGCCTGGCGCCGCACAACTACATGGAGCCGGCGCAGCTGCTGCCCCCGGACGAGGTGGACGTCTTCTTCAACCACCTCGACTCGCAGGGCAACCCCTACTACGCCAACCCGGCCCACGCGCGGGCGCGCGTCTCCTACGGCCCCGCGCACGGTGAGCCCGGGCGGGGAGCGGTGAGCCCGGGCCGGGGGTGGGCGCCCGCGGCTCCGGGCCGCGCGCCGGGCGCGGAAGGGGAGGCGGGCCGGCCGCCTGCTTCCCGGATGTGGGATCCGCAGGCATCGCAGCGGCTGAGACATCGGGGCGGGAAAGGTGGAGGCAGCGGGGCCTCTTGGGTCCCGCGGGCTTTTTCTGCCCATTTCCCAGCGGGCCCGTGGGGGTTCGCTCCAGGCCTGGTCCAGGGCGGGGTCCTTCTGTATCCCCTGTCCTTCCACGCCGGACTGACATTCCTGATTTTTGCCGGTGGTTGCATTTCTCGTTTTCTTTGGGGCGGGAGTTGCTGCTGGCGGCTGTGTGTGCTGGGGCCCTGGGCACCCTGTGTGTCCGGGCTGGGCCCCGCGCCTCTGCGTCCTAACCCCTCTCCCTCTTCCCCCAGCGCGGCTCACCGGAGGCCAGATGTGCCGCCCACACTTGTTGCACAGCCCGGGGCTGCCGTGGCTGGACGGGGGCAAAGCGGCCCTGTCCGCGGCCCACCACCACAACCCCTGGACCGTGAGTCCCTTCTCCAAGACTCCGCTGCACCCCTCCGCCGCCGGCGGCCCCGGAGGGCCCCTCTCCGTGTACCCGGGGGCGGGGGGCGCGAGCGGGGCAGGCAGCGGGGGCTCCGTGGCCTCCCTCACCCCCACGGCCGCCCACTCTGGCTCCCACCTCTTCGGCTTCCCGCCCACGCCGCCCAAGGAAGTGTCTCCGGACCCCAGCAGCGCCCCCGGGGCGGCCTCCCCCGCCTCCTCCTCCGCCGGGGGTAGTGCTGCCCGAGGGGAGGACAAGGACGGCGTCAAGTACCAAGTGTCGCTGGCCGAGAGCATGAAGATGGAGAGCGGCAGTCCCCTGCGCCCAGGCCTGGCCGCCATGGGCACCCAGCCCGCCACACATCACCCCATCCCCACCTACCCCTCCTATGTGCCTGCCGCCACCCACGACTACAGCAGCGGGCTCTTCCACCCAGGAGGCTTCCTGGGTGGCCCTGCCTCCAGCTTCACCCCTAAGCAGCGCAGCAAGGCGCGCTCCTGCTCAGGTAAAAGCAGGTGCTAGGGACCTAGTGGGAGTGGGGGCAGTTTGTATTTTGTGGGGTGGTGGTTGGGTGGGGCGTTGCAGGCTGTGGTATAGGAGAGGGGTCAGTCTCCCAGGTCTGGGGATGCATGATGTCCCTTTCTAAGAGCCCCAAGAGATGTCTGAGAGTCCAGAATAGGGGAGAAGGGGGTCCTAAAACATTTGCCTTTAAGTGTTCCTAGTAGCCCCCCAAAGTTCACTTTTCTTCCTCATTCCTTACCTTTCCCTCCAAGGCCAGCCAATGCCAGACCGGACCACAGAAGGGGAATTCCCCCTTCCCCTCCCTGGATCTTACGGGGAAAATTCAGTGTGAGAGAATGCAACATGCAGGGGAGAGCGGAGAGGCCATGTTTGTGTGTGTAGACGTTTGTTTGTGGGCAACCCAAAGGCTCCAGGTCTTTAAGGAATCCGGTTCTCCAACCCATTCAGTCCAGTCTTGGGATTTCTGTGGCTCCTGATCTCCTTGGGAGATTTCCCCAAAGCAAAATTCCAGAACCTGTTCCTGCTTCCCGCCCCTGGCGTGTTCCTCGCTCTCCCTCCCTGAGGGCTGGAGCGAAGGGATGAAGCTGTGGGTGCCTCTGCCCCTTCGCAGGAGGAGCAGCTGGGGCCACGTTGGATTTGTCCGAGAATCTGGCCTTTGGTAGAGCAGAAACCGTGGCTAGTATGGGAGTTCTGTCGGTGCATCCTTCCCAATTCTTTTAAGCTGGGGAAAGAAAGATTTTAAAAACACACTCCTACGCCCAGGACACATCCTTCCTCGCCTATATATATATATATATATATATATATATATACACATATATCTCGACCATTTAGTTAAACTAAATGTGGAAAAATTTCCTGGACAGCATGACGCTAAAGCAGTCACCCTGTTTGATCGCGGAAGCCACCCCCTGCACCCATTTGAATGTCCCTTGGGGTCCCTGTTCTGCTCAGACCAGCGAGCTGGCCTCTAATTAGTCCTTTCTCCCAAGTTTGTTTTACATTCTATTTGAATTCCAGATGGTCCTCTTAACAAAAACAAAACAAACAAAAACAAGCAGCCGAACAACAGCGCACAAAACAAAACCAAGAACCAAAAACAACTTAGCCTAAAAAACGAAAGGGCGTATTATTTATTTTAAAGCACAACTTTCGATCTGTGTCCTGGACCGAAATGTAGGGCCTCCGCAGGAGAGAGAAGGGTGTTGGAAAGAAAGAAGGCTGTTACCCCGGACTGAGAGCAGAAAGTCAGAGTAAAGCGGAGGGCAGCGATGTGGGCAGACTCAGCAGAGAGCGGGTGCGGTGGTGGGGATGGGAGAGAAACAGAACTAGAAAGGGGGCCGGAGCCCTCCGGGCCAGCCAGGTGATTCCAGCCGCGGCCCCGCCATCGACAAAGTTTGTGGTAAACCCCCTCTCCTGGTCGTCCCTGCGGAGAACCCCTGGGGCCCTGGCCCGCTTCCCCTCAGCCTGGTTTCCCTTTCTCCCGGAGAGGGTGTTGAAGAGGGAGATTAGCTAGCTCCTCGGAGGAGACCGCCTGGCTCCCTTTCCCCGTCCAGACTGGGACGAAAAGTCACCTCCTCTGAAGCAGCCTGGCCGAGGGGACGGCTGCGGATCGGCAGCCGCTGGCCCACCGACAGCCTTCCGTGACCTCGTTGCTTAAGCAGGCTGGTGTCTCCCCCTGTCCCCCTGCAGAAGGCCGGGAGTGTGTCAACTGTGGGGCCACAGCCACCCCTCTCTGGCGGCGAGACGGCACCGGCCACTACCTGTGCAATGCCTGCGGGCTCTACCACAAGATGAACGGGCAGAACCGGCCGCTCATCAAGCCCAAGCGGAGACTGGTAGGCAGCGGGCGAGGCGGGAGCCGGTGCGGGGGAGAAGGCTGGTGGGCGGCATCCTGGTAGCTAACCTGGGCAGGGGCTAACAGTTAATTTAAGAAAAAGAAAAAGAAAAAAAAAAAAAGAACAGCAACAGAAGCCTTCAAACGCAGATGATTGCCACTTCAAATCTTTTATCATTGAAATCACTTGGATGTCCGTTGGGGTTGCCCTTCTCTCCGGCCAGATTTTTTTTTTTTTTCTGGCCAGATTTCCTCCTCAGCGGCTCGTCGGGGACCCTCACCCCACCCCCGCTCAGGGATCCCAGGCGTTGAGTGTCCAAGGGCCCTGGCCTCTGTTTAACTCTTTTTTTAAAAATAGGGCCATGAAGTAATTTTCCCTGCGGCTGAGGGCAGCTCTCTCACAATCCCCTCATGCCTATTTAAATAAAACACACCAGCCACCAAAAAAACCTGCCCTTTATTATTTTTCCATGGAGACACCTATACTGTGTATTTTCATTTGAGCGATTTAAAAAAAAAATGCCCTTTCGGATCTCCTGCCGGAGTTTCCTATCCGGACATCTGCAGCCTGAAGATAAGGAAACTTCGTGTATCTGTTTCCGGACTCGGCGAGTTTTTAGAGTCTCTCCTCGGCTCAGTCCTGCCTCTCGCTGGGCTGTTTTGAAATTTCTAATGCGCTCCACTTTGCAAATAATGTGTAAAATGCTAAGAATAATAAATATATTTTTTCAGGGCGAAGTGATTTATGAGGCTTAAATCACTCGCGCCGCTTTGGGGGGCCCCTTTTTTCCCCCTGCAGGGAGGGCGGGGTGAGGGCCCGGGGAGGGATGGAGGCTAAAGGGTTGGCCCCTGAGTCAGAATTCCAGCTTCAGGCTGCTTACTCACCCTCACCCCTCCCCGCTCTGAGACGACCGTCCGCAGGCCCCCCTGCGGCCATTCCAGCCGCTGCTGGCCCTGGCCCCCCACCCCCACCCCTGCTGCCTGCCGTTCTCTGTGACTGTGGGGCTGGCACTGGTTGAACGGGGAGAAGGAATCTGTGTTCTTGGATAAAGACTGTGTGGCCTTCTTTTGCAAGCCTTTCACTCCCTTCTCCAGAAATCAGACACTCATTGCCCGACCACCTCTGTCCTGCATTC